ACGAACTCACCACTGTGGTGGATTACGAATTTCAGAAATTCATCCATTAAACCTAAATCCCATAAATCTCATAACAAATATTCAGAATCCCATATCAAATATCCAGTTACGAAGACAAAACAAGAATAACATACCTGGAAAGCAATCACCTACGGAGTCACATTCTCAAGCTTCGCAAGCCTCTTTGCAAGCCCCTTCGCAAGCCTCTTACTTTTTCCTTTGGCTTTCGTTTTGGACAAACAGAACATGCATTTGCTATCTTCAGCTTTGGGAGATTGTCTGTCCTTATTCTCTGCTATGTTGCCTCCAACAAGCCACTTTAAGCAGGACAACTGCCACCTGGAGTCTGATTTTTGTATTTCACTAATGTTTCACTAACGGAAGGACTAACGTGATTGCGTTTTGAAACTTAAGGAACCATTTTGGCACCAAAAAAAGACAAGGTACCAAAGTGAACCATGACTTATAGTTAAGGGACAAAAATGACTATTTTGCCTTTTATGGATTTGTAAGCTTGGTTTAGGATGGATGATATATTGTTTTTCTGGAAAGACAATTATATAAAGGATTAGTGTAAAAGTGGTATTATAAATTCTAAGTGAAAAATATGTATAATGATTGTGTGTGAAAAATTGGGTGTTAGAATTTATGGAAGTGAGTTTGAAATTGGTGGCTAAAATGTGTGAAAAATTGTTTCTGTGTGAAAAATTGATAACGCGAGTGAACAAATAGATTGTGTGAAATTGAGGTGCAGTGTCTTAGAATGATAATAATTTAAAAACTTAATCATCAGAAAGAAATCATCACGTGGTTAAAAATAAACAAATAAAAATAAAAATGGAGGCCTCGTATTTTAATTATTGGCCAAAATAAAGACATCGCTAATAGTTTTGAAAAAGTGTTCGAAGAAAAAAAAGTTGAAAAATAGTGAAATTGTGGATGATTGTTGATTTGTGAATGATTGTTCATAGAAAATTGTTGTTAACGTGTGTGCGCTGAAAAATTGTGAAATTTGTTGATGTCTACAATTGTGAGAAATTATTTATAGTGAAAATTAGGTCAATAAAATAGAAAAAACAATTAAATATCAATCAATCATTTAAAAGCCCCAATTTGAAATTTAACTTGATTTTGATGATTTAATTGATCTTTTTCCTAAAATTTCTTACTTGTTCCTCATGATTTAAGAAAATGCTACAAATAAAACCAATTTGATCAAAACTTTCTTTTTATATTTTTTTTGGTTAGAATATTTGACTATTTAATGCACAAAATTATAATTTTAATGAAAAAAAATAATATTTTTAAAAAAAGAAAAATAAAAGAAAACGAAAATTATATTTAAATAATAAAAAAATAAGATTTTTTTGATTTTGGAAATAATTAAAAATGGAAATAAAGTTAGTAACAAATAACAGAAAAAGTATTCAAAGTGGAACATGTAAAATTTGAACCAATGACCTCATATTTGTAATCTCTGTTTTCTTATCAATTGTGCTATGTTATTTATTTGAAATAAAAAGCCAATTGAAAGTGTATGAAGAGTGAACAAGTACTTGCTATTTAAGAAATACAAATAATTTAAAGTAAACTATTATATATTTTTAAACAGGCAAAATAAATTGACAATAAATATAAAACCCAAAATATTATTGTAAATAAACCGAAAATTTTTATAAAAACTCAATGTTGAAAATATTTTGACTGTAAAAATAGGGCGGGAAAATTTAGGGTATGACAGAAGACAATTGAGCTTAATCTTTTCTCGGGGTTAGAGTTTGCACATATAACTTGGAGATTACTCATCTTCAGAATGTCGATGATATCTTAACCTTGGGAGATCCCTCACTAGAGAATTTAAGGGCTATTAAAGTGGTTCTAGGGGGTATGAGTTAGCTTTGGTCCCTGGGGTTAATTTACATAAGAGTAACTTGATTAGGATTAATGTTGTTCCTTCCTTTTTAGTATACAGAGAAATTTATCCATTGTAAGACATAGTCTCTTCCTTTTAAGTATTTAGGGCTTCCGGTAGGTGTCAATCCTCAATTGGAGTCTACTTGGACGCCTATAGTTAACTTGATTTAGAAGAGACTTCACTCTTATAATCATAAGTATGTTAGTCTTGGTGGGGAGAGTTATTCTCCTAAACTTTGTTCTCAATTTTATTCTTGTGTTCTATCTTTCCTTCTTAAAGATGTCGATGAAAGTGTGGAAGAAGTTAGTTATGATTCAGAGGAAGTTTTTTTGGGAGGTGTGAAAAGGGATTCCAAGATATCATGTGTGAGATGTTCAAATGTGTTCAAATCCAATAAGGAGGAAAGATTAGGTTCTAGAGATCTCTGAATGGTTAATCTAGCTTTCTTAGCTAAGTACAGATGGAAACTTTTGTCGAGTGCTTCTGGTATGTGGTTCAATATTCTTATTGTCAAGTATGGTCATTCCCTTGTCACCTCCTTGTCTAGGGGTCATCCTTTTGTGTTTCGTTCTGCTTTCTCTTGGTGGAAAGGTTTGTCCCTTCTTGGATCTAAAAAGGATGATCCTCCCAATTGGTTTGACGTAAGGTTGGTTAAGAAGGTTGGGATATACCTTCAAACCTCTTTTTGGGAAGACCCTTAGATAAATAGTATACCTCTTAGGACTAGGTTTCAGAGACTTTACACCATCTCCTAAAGGCAATATGGCACCGCGGAAGAGATTGGGAGGTAGGAAGATGAGATGAAACCTTGGGATCTTTATTGGAGGATATCGTTCTTCGTTCATGAAGAATCTATTGTCTCTGATTCCTTCTCGGTCTTCCGAGAGTTTCAATTTAGTTAGGAGAGTGATAAGTGGTTTCAGAGACATACTAAAGATGGTTTGTTCTCCATGACGTTTATGTACCAAATTCAAGTAAGCCGCTATTCTTCATCAAAATCTCGTTTATCTAGGGTGAGTCCAACTCTTCCCTTGATCTGGGAAAGTTCGACCTCCACTAAGGTGGTGATTTTTTCTTGACAACTTCTGCATGACAAAATCCCGACTAGGGATTACTTGTTCAAACGAAAGGTCATTATTGACCCGAAGGGCAACTCATGTATTTTTTGTGGGGATTGGCCTGAGTCAATCTCTCATTTATTTGTTACTTGTAATCTAGCTTATACTCCTTGGTATATGATTTTTAGGTGGTTAGGGATTCAGTTGGCTTTTCCCAGGGAGTCATGGCGTCTTTTTCAAGTTTTTCTTTCTTTAGGTGAGAGAACAAAGTCTAAGGGAGGTTTTGTCATGATTTAGCATACAATGGTGTGTATTATCTGGTTAATGAGTGATAACTAGTTTTTTGAATCGTTAATAAACGTGAAAGAGGTGGAGGATAAGAGCATTTTTTGGCTTGATGCTAGTTTTCTAACAGGGCAACATTAAATTCATCCTCCTTCTCTGTCTGCCTTTAGAATTCTATCATGTATCTTAGCCAACAATGAATAAAAAATTCTAGCCTACTCCTAAGAGTTCAATGGTCTCAATGTTGATAGTGGTTCTTAATTTATTGATGATGGGTCTGATGATTGGAACTCTAGTTAATTTTCTATTGGGTGGTGGTTCATGGCTTTCGTGCATAGTACGAGATGTGATTTTTTTTGGTGTTAGCTCTATTCTTGTTTAAAGTTGTTATTTTCCCTTATCTTATACTTTTTGTGTTTTTATTTTTTTATTGAGTGCATCTAAATCTTTTTGTATATTGTTGGTTCTTCTGCCAACTTCTTTTCTATTTATAACTATTTTGCCTTTAAAAAAAGACAACAGATACACGTGAAGCATTATACTTAGATTTTGTCTTCACTATTCAGTACTAGTACTTTTATCCCGTGTGATACACGAGATAAATTATAGATAAATATTGTATGTGAGAATTTTTTTTAAAAGATTTTTGTTGATTGAATAGAAATACATAAAAATTAGCAGTGTATTAAAAAGAGAAAAGAAAATAATATAATTAAAAAATTTTTAAGCGAAATTTTACTTAAATTTTGACACCTAAATGTATATTCTATTTTAATATATTAAGGATTAGCTGGTCTTCTCTTTATAACAATATGGTCAAGGAGACAAATATACTATTACTCTTGATTTCTTATTTTGTATGTGTGAAAGTGAAGCAACTATTTTAAATGTTTTTCATTAATTGGATTTTCCCTCCAAAACAAAATGAATGCAACTTGTTAGATAAAAAAACAAAGAAATAATTGAATTATATATTCGTATCACTTCATCTTGTCAATGGAGTCTTCCAAATATTATATCTTAATTTGATTATATATATACTACTTAATTATTATTATTATTATTATTATTATTATTATTATTATTATTATTATTGATTGTTCTCACTTATAAACACATATTTACATGTGAGACTATATATTGTTCGATATAGAATTTTTAACACACTCTTTCACCCATAGGATTAGACATCTGAAGAACGGAAAAAAAATCATGGAAATCCGATAGCGAGAACTTAATAGCAGGTAGTCCACCAGATCTTAAACCAGACTTTGATATCACTCATGTACATGAGAGAGTAAGTTAGAAGTCTCTCATCAGATAATATATGAGCTAAAAATGTACTCCCTCCAGTCTCATTTATAAGAAAAAATTAACTTTTTATATACATTGAATAAGTAATCTATTTGGACAATATATTGTCCAAATACATTACTTATTTAATGTATCTAAAAAGTTAATTTTTTCTTATAAATGAGACCGGAGGGAGTATTTATTAGTAGGACCATCTTTACTAAATGACAAAATCAGAATCACATGCAATAATCCAAATATCAACTTTGTTCACAAAACACTAAAAACATAGTTTAACAATGACTACTATATAATCAATGAAAAAGTTAATAACTTAATAAGTAGTAATTTACAATCTTGATATAACTGCTAGATCAGTTCTATTTATAATCCATGAGAAGTCCTCAAAAAAGAGTAGTCAAAGTTGTTTACTTACTCCAAAGTGAGCTATGGTTTCTCTTAGGCCATTAGTTGCTCTAACTCTCTCTTCCTTTGTTCTAACTTGCCTTCTATGTTTAGCTGAAGAAACTAACTATTCTTCTTCCAAAATCGGTCGAGGCTACCGTTTGATATCCATTGAAGATACACCTGATGGTGCACTTGTAGGTCTCCTGCAAGTTAAGCAGAAGAACAATATTTATGGTGCTGACATTCCCCTTTTATGCTTCTACGTCAAGTAAGTGCATATCCGATTCTATATATTAGTAATAATTTGAAAAAAATGAATAATTTGAACATTATCAATGTCGTGTTGGTGATATGACACTAAACACGAGCGTTGATGTCGTATTGATGTCTATCAGAGTGACGCATATATTGGACATCAGACACGCTTTTATTCATATGTGTATGTGCGTTTATTTATGAACCTTATACTTTGTTCCTTGGTTTTGCAGGCACGAGACCGAGAATCGTTTGAGGGTACACATAACTGATGCAAACAACAAAAGGTGGGAGGTTCCTTATGATCTTTTGCCTAGGGAGCAACCACCACCTCTGAAGAGGTTGAAGAAGAAGAAGCCATTATCAGTTTCAGAGTATTCAAGCTCTGAGCTTGTTTTCAGTTACACTTCTGACCCATTTAGTTTTAAAGTGAAAAGAAAGTCCAATGGTGATACCCTTTTTGACTCAAATTCTAATGAATCAGATCCATTTGGTCCATTAGTACTCAAAGACCAATATTTGGAAATTTCTACCAAATTGCCTAAAGATGCTTCATTATATGGTTTAGGAGAGAACACACAATCACATGGGATGAAGTTACATCCAAATGATCCTTACACTTTGTATACAACTGATATATCAGCTGTTAATCTCAATTCGGATTTATATGGATCACATCCTGTGTACATGGATCTCAGAAATGAAGGTGGAAAATCTCATGCACATGGTGTTTTGTTGTTGAATAGTAATGGAATGGATGTGTTTTACAAAGGGAACTATTTGACATACAAAATCATTGGAGGTGTTTTTGATTTTTACTTCTTTGCTGGACCATCTCCTCTGAATGTTGTTGATCAGTATACTACTTTAATTGGAAGACCTGCTCCAATGCCTTATTGGGCCTTTGGTATGATATGATTCACTTTTCACTTCTCCAAAACCTGTTTGCATCATGACCAATATTAATAAATTCATTTTGTATATTTATAGGATTCCATCAATGCAGATGGGGTTATCACAACCTATCTGTGATAGAACATGTTGTTGAGAATTACAAGAAGGCCAAAATCCCACTTGATGTGATATGGAATGATGATGATCACATGGATGGACACAAGGACTTCACAGTCAATCCAGTTAGCTATCCACTTCCAAAGCTTTTAAGCTTCCTAGACAGAATTCACAGCATTGGCATGAAATATATTGTGATCAATGATCCCGGAATCGCTGTTAACACAAACTATGGTGTATACCAAAGGGGTATGGCTAATGATGTTTTTATCAAATATGAAGGTGAACCATTCATGGCTATGGTTTGGCCAGGAGCAGTTTACTTTCCTGATTTTCTCAATCCGAAAACAGTTTCTTGGTGGGGAGACGAGATTCGCCGCTTCCATGAACTTGTTCCTATTGATGGCTTATGGATCGACATGAATGAAGTTTCGAATTTCTGCACGGGAAAATGTACTATTCCAAAGGGAAGATTTTGTCCACTCCAAGGTGAAAAATTACCAAATTCGACGTGTTGCTTGGATTGTACAAACATCACAAGCACGAGATGGGATGATCCTCCCTACAAAATCAATGCGTCCGGAAAGGAGGCTCCAATAGGCTTCAAAACTATAGCAACTAGCGCAGTTCATTATAATGGCGTGTTGGAATATGATGCTCATAGTCTTTTTGGTTTCTCCGAAGCCATTGCAACGCACAAAGCGCTTCTTGAACTTCAAGGTAAACGACCGTTTGTTTTGTCTCGTTCGACTTATGTAGGATCAGGCAAATATGCTGCTCATTGGACTGGTGACAACAAAGGAACATGGGAGGATTTAAGATATTCTATATCTACTGTTCTCAATTTCGGAATATTTGGTATGCCAATGGTTGGTGCAGATATATGTGGTTTCTATCCAGCGCCTACCGAAGAGCTTTGTAATAGGTGGATTGAAGTTGGTGCTTTCTATCCATTCTCAAGGGATCATTCAAGTGTTATTTCTCCTAGACAGGAGCTTTATCAATGGGAATCCGTAGCTGAATCGGCTAGAAATGCTTTGGGGATGAGATATAAGCTTCTACCCTATCTGTATACATTAAACTATGACGCTCATATTAGTGGAGCCCCGATTGCTCGGCCTCTTTTCTTCTCGTTTCCAAATTTTGTTCGATGTTATGGCCTAAGCACTCAGTTCTTACTTGGAAGTGGCCTAATGATTTCTCCTGTTCTCGAGCGAGGGAAAACGGAAGTTAAAGCACTCTTTCCGCCCGGAACATGGTACAGCTTATTTGATTTGACACAAACCATTGTTTCAAGAGATGGAAACTATGTTACCCTTGATGCACCCTTGCATGAAATCAATGTGCATTTATATCAGAATACTATTCTTCCAATGCAGCAAGGTGGTATGGTATCTAAGGATGCCAGAATGACACCTTTTAGCCTCATTGTGACATTTCCAGCCGGTGCGAATGAAGGAGAAGCTAAAGGAAACTTGTTCATTGATGATGATGAGATGCCAGATATGAAGCTCGGAAACGGCTATTCGACCTACGTTGAATTCCATGCAAGTGTGAATGAAGGAACTGTGAAAATTTGGTCAGAAGTTCAAGAGGGAAAGTTTGCTTTAGATCAAGGTCTGGTTATTGAGACAATAAATGTGTTGGGATTGAGCTATGGAAGTGGAGAACTAGTTAGAATTGAGATAGATGGAGAACCATCAATTGGTGTCTCAAATGTGAAAGTTAGTACATATGAACATAAGTACTTGTACAAGGAAGGAGGTGGAGAAAAAAAGACAGTAATGGTTGGATTGAATGGCTTGAATATCCCTGTAGGTAAAGAATTTGCTCTTACATGGAAAATGGGATCATGATTCATAAGTTTAGATTGTCTCATCTTTGTTGAGTCGTCTGTCACGTTTAAATCTCTATGCTCCTGTTGTTATCTTCCATTATGCTATCATTGTGTAATAAAGCAAGAAAAATATTGAAAAAATTGAGTCTTTGTAAGATGATTTTAAGAGTGAAGCATCCTGTACTTTTCGCAGGGTGGACATTGACAATATGTCTATATATGCATCAAGTGTGTGCCAAAATATACACCATATCTCATCTCATTGGAGACTCATAACACATCTCTTCACATCAAGTATTATTGAGCTTAGTGTACAAATATAAATGGTGAAAGGTCTCGTAGCAAAAATCTATAACAGATGACTCCAACTTAAAAGGGGATTATTGTCTACACTTTAACACATTCACCTTTCACACCGAAAACAATTGGATTTATTCAAATAATAAAACTAAACACTTAGTATATGTTTTGTTTCCCTGTTCTTAGAATTGATTTTGTGTAGAATTGATTTTGACATATTTTATTATTATCGAGTATAATTCATTCTGCTTTTCAGATTGATCCTACTTGAATATAGGATTTATAGTTTTTGAGTTTAAATATATTTTTTACATTAAAATTTATTATTCAACTAATTTTCTTTTTTAATTTATTCAAACATAATTCACTTTACTTTCAGTTCACTTTTAAACCAAATCAAATTATTTCGATCAATTATTTTTCACCGCACAAGCCGAAACAAAGTGAAGAGTAAGAAAAGTTAAAGTTGATTAGAAGTTGCCTTTAGTAGTTAGGGTAAAAATCAGATAACTTTAAGGTATCTATCCACTTCACCTTCTATATATCACATACATAGAGAAGCATCCTATACACAAAAAGTATATAGTTTTTCTCATTTCATAATCATCACCTGAAAAACATTGTCTCTGATCCACACAACAACATCAACAACAAATGAGTAAAACACAAAGTGGTGTACCCACACACGCCACATTAGAGAGATGAAAGAATAAGGAACAGAATGGCCCACAGTCACAAGATTAGTATGATCCTCTCAAGTTCAAACTCACGCGTAACGCAATGGATCCTATAAGATACTTCCTCACTCAATCTTCCTATGTCCCACACAAAAACACAAAGTAACCATTTTCTCAATCATAAAACACAACCCTCTCCCACGTTGTTTTACTCTACAGTGTCCTACTATGGCTTCTCTTCATCCATTAGCCACTCTTTTTCTCTCTTACCTTCTTCTAACTTTGTTTCTCTCTGAAGCTAAACACCCCACTTCTTCAAAATCCACCATAATTGGTCAAGGTTACCGTTTGATATCCATTGAAGCTGACCCTAATGGTGCTATCACTGGACTCCTTCAAGTTAAGGACAAGAATAATATCTATGGCCCTGACATTCCCCTTCTTCGCTTCTACGTCAAGTAAATCATTATGCATTCGTGTTTTTTTCTTTACGAAGTTTATTAAGCACTAACATAAACACCAAACACACGGACACACTAACATCAGGTGTTGGTGTCAGACTGATACGTGTTGGTGTTATGTCAGTGTCAGACACCATACTCGTGTATGGTGTCTAATACGTGTTGAACATCGGACAATCTTATTTATGACCCTTTTACTTTTTCCCTTGATTTTGCAGACATGAGACTGAGAATCGTTTGAGGGTACATATAACAGATGCAAAGAACAAAAGGTGGGAGGTTCCTTACAATCTTTTGCCTAGAGAGCAACCACCATCTCTGAAGCAGAACATTAAGAGGTTGAAGAAGAAGAAACCATTATCAGTTTCAGAGTATTCAAGCTCTGAGCTTGTTTTCAGTTACACTTCTGACCCATTTAGTTTTGCAGTGAAAAGAAAGTCCAATGCAGATACCCTTTTTGACTCAAATTCTAACAATTCAGACTCATTTGGTCCATTGGTTTTCAAGGACCAATACTTGGAAATCTCCACCAAATTGCCTACAGATGCTTCTTTATATGGTTTTGGAGAAAACACACAGCCACATGGGATAAAGCTGCATCCAAATGACCCTTATACTTTGTATACCACTGATGCATCTGCTATTAATCTCAATACTGATTTATATGGTTCACATCCTGTATACATGGATCTTAGAAATGAAGGTGGAAAATCTTATGCACATGGTGTTCTGTTGTTGAATAGCAATGGAATGGATTTGTTTTACAAAGGAACCTCTCTCACCTACAAGATTATTGGAGGGGTGCTTGATTTTTATTTCTTTGCAGGTCCTACGCCGCTTAACGTTGTTGATCAGTACACATCGTTTATCGGTAGACCTGCTCCAATGCCTTATTGGGCTTTTGGTATGATTCACTTTTCACAATCTCTCATACCACTATCTTGCACATTCTACTAACTAATGTATTTAGTATCTGTTAAAGTCGGGCTTATCAGACCTAAATTTTGAAACTCGAAAGTCTAGTTTTTATCAATATTATTAGGGTACATGATTCTATCAATCTCTACCTCCAACTAGCACCAACACCTCTGAACAAAAGTGTATCCGGTGTCCAATACGTGTCACACTGATATAACACCCTATCTACTTAACCAACGTGCTGACTTGATTTATTTGTTATGTAATAGGATTCCACCAATGCAGATGGGGTTATCACAACCTATCTGTCGTAGAAGATGTTGTCGAAAATTACAAGAAAGCCAAAATCCCACTCGATGTTATATGGAACGACGATGATCACATGGATGGACACAAGGATTTCACACTCAATCCAGTTAATTACCCTCATCCCAAGCTTCTAAACTTTCTAGACAGAATACACAGCATTGGAATGAAATACATTGTGATCAATGATCCTGGAATAGCTGTTAACTCTAGTTATGGTGTATACCAAAGAGGTCTGGCTAACGATGTTTTCATCAAGTATGAGGGTGAACCTTTCTTGGCTCAAGTTTGGCCAGGAGCAGTGTACTTTCCTGATTTTCTCAATCCAAAAACAGTTTCTTGGTGGGGTGATGAGATTCGCCGCTTCCATGAACTAGTCCCAGTTGATGGCTTATGGATTGACATGAATGAAGCTTCAAATTTCTGCTCTGGAAAATGTACAATTCCTACCGGAAAAGTGTGCCCGAGTGGAACAGGACCTGGTTGGGTATGTTGCCTAGATTGCAAAAACATCACTAAAACGCGATGGGATGATCCTCCCTACAAAATAAATGCTTCAGGATTACAAGCTCCTATAGGTTTCAAAACTATAGCCACGAGTGCAGTTCACTATAACGGCGTTTTAGAGTATGATGCTCATAGTATTTATGGTTTTGCTCAAACCATTGCAACTCACAAGGCCCTTCAGGGACTTCAAGGAAAAAGGCCTTTTATTTTATCTCGCTCGACTTATGTTGGATCAGGCAAATACGCAGCGCATTGGACAGGCGACAATCAGGGCACATGGGAGGATTTGAGATACTCAATATCTACAATGCTGAACTTTGGAATATTTGGAGTGCCAATGGTTGGTTCTGATATATGCGGTTTCTATCCAGCGCCTACCGAAGAGCTTTGCAATAGGTGGATCGAAGTTGGTGCTTTCTACCCTTTCTCAAGGGATCATGCAAACTACTACTCTCCAAGACAAGAACTTTACCAATGGGAGTCAGTAGCTGAATCAGCTAGAAATGCTTTAGGGATGAGATATAAGCTCCTACCCTATCTGTACACCTTAAACTACGAGGCGCATATTCGTGGAGCCCCGATTGCTCGGCCTCTTTTCTTCTCGTTTCCAAATTATGTTCAATGTTACGGCCTCAGCACTCAGTTCTTACTTGGAAGTGGCCTAATGGTTTCTCCTGTACTCGAGCAAGGGAAAACGGAAGTCAAAGCACTCTTTCCGCCCGGAACATGGTACAATTTATTTGATTTGACACAAGTCATTCTTTCAAAAGATGGAAACTATGTGACCCTTAATGCACCCTTGCATGTGGTCAATGTGCATTTACATCAGAACACCATTCTTCCAATGCAACAAGGTGGTATGGTATCTAAGGATGCTAGAATGACACCTTTTCGCCTCATTGTGACATTTCCAGCTGGTGCAAATGAAGGAGAAGCTAAAGGAAACTTGTTCCTTGACGACGACGAGCTTCCAGAAATGAAGCTTGGAAATGGCTATTCAACATATATTGACTTTCATGCAAGTGTGAAAGAAGGAACTGTGAAAGTTTGGTCAGAAGTCCAAGAGGGTAAGTTTGCTTTGGATAAAGGTTGGGTTATTGACACAATAAATGTGTTGGGATTGATTGGAAATGGAGCAAGAGCTACAATGGAAATAGATGGTACACTATCATATGTGAAAATTGATACAACTGAACAAAGTTACTTATATGGGAAAGGAGATGGAGAAAAGAAGATAGTGATGGTTGGAATGAAGGGCTTGAATATCCCTGTAGGTAAAAATTTCTCTATGACTTGGAAGATGGGATCATGAGTTTAGAAGAGCTAGAATAAAGCTCATCCTGTTCTATTTCATATAAAGAGGATTAAGATCTCACAGTAAAGTCTTTGAAATGCTTAAATACAAAAGTCTTCCTGCCTAATACGATGCTCTTATTGTAATCCTTCAGTATCATATATTGTAGAGATTAGTTTTGATGCAATTTTAGTGTAAAAATATTGCATGTCAATCTATCACAAATCATCATCTATATGACTTTTTATATAGATATGAGAAATAATATTTATGTCTTCGTGAAAAGTACACAAATGATAATTCTACTAGTGAAAATTAATAAAATCGTAGTTGAATGAATTGTATATATCTTTTCTCTTTGCACTCTTTTCACTATATAACCGCTTTATAAATAATAAAGATAGTTTTTACGATTACTAAGAAATTAAATCAAGTGTAGTTAATTTTTCAGATTTTGATAAAAATATTAATTAAATTTATTATAATATCTTCTTTATTAAATTTAATAGAATGTTGAAAAAAAAAGAAGAAGAGTATATTAAAAATTATAATATTAAATGATTTAATAATAATTGATTTTTGTTTATGAGGGTGACAAAAAATTAAAACATATTTATTGTTTATAAATGTGTATGGATGGTGCACTTCCATCCCTAAATATAAGATTTCATAGATTAAATTACACTAATTAAGAAAATTAATAAGTAGAGTATTAAATTTATTGATTATTTGTATAATTTTATAAATATATTTTTAAGATAGAGAAAATAATTAATATTTATATAAATGTATTTATTACACATTACAAAAAATATATAATTAAAAATATGTTTTGAAAAAAATTAATGTATTTTAGAAATTAAAAAATATTTTATAAAAAATACTCAAGAGATTCCTAAGTGAGATAGTAATTAGTTTAGCATTTAGGTAATAAAACAGACAATCATTGATGTTCGTGAATTTTTTTTTTGAATAATCAGGTATTAAAATTTTTTTTCACAAATAACCACGTTTCAGAAAAAATTACGCAAATAACCATGTTTCAAATGACTCCCCAAAGGAGGAGCCATCTCACTTGGCGCCTTCACTTAGCATTTAGCCCTAGGCGCCATCTCACTTGGCGCCTCCTCTCTCTTTTAGCCAAGTGAGATGGTGCATGCACTTTAAAAGTGAGAGGAGGCGCCATCTCACTTGGCTCCTAGGGCAAAATGCTGTTTTTATAAATAATTCGTCCGTTTCTCCGTCATTTCTCACACTTTCTCGCACTGTTTTCTTATTTTTTACTCTGTTATTTGCGTCATGACATCGCCCATGATTTTTACTAGAGATGGTTACGTTATCTTCTCTGCCACAAAACCTGCGATGAAAATGAAATTCTGGCACATTCACTCCATGGAGCGTCTGAAGCGGGAGTTGATGCGATGGCTAGATGGAGACATCGTGGAGGGGGAAAAAATTCGAAGGATCCAGCGAAGACGAACAACAACCTCATATGCGACAGGAAGACTTAAGTTTGGTTGGAGGAAGTCAAAACAGACAGCAACGTAATGTTGATGATGCATGGGTCAGATGATATTGTTTTAACAGTTGTAATTTCGTAGACGGAATATCGTGTTTTTTTTCTTGTACGCGCAATGTTTATTGTAGTAAATACTGTTAACGAAAAACCCTAATGTTTATAACATAATTAAGGAAAGATTTTATGTAATACAATTTTTATGTGGTCGAGGCAGACGCCCGATTCGGACAATTTTTGCGATTGTGTCCGACCTGACGGCATAAACCACACTTTCTTTCCAACTTGTCAAGGGAGTCCATTTCGGTTGTGATGCGCTTACTTTTGGGACAACCCTTTTTGTTCCTTCGCATTTGGTCATTGTGCCATACTATTTCACCGTCGTATGCAGGCCAATAATCTAGTTTTGCTACCAAAGGAAAGCTGTTGTTGTAAACGTTGAGCAACATTTCAGATTTGTAAATGTGTGACAGAAGTTGTAGCGCGTCTTGATGGGTATAAGCACACGCGGCAATGACATGAGAGCAAGGCATACGAAAGGCTTGAAACTTTCCACAATCGCACCAACGAGAAGGTAATACAACTCTATATTCTTGTCTTGGCAGGCCCTCCTTGTGGTCGATTGTCTCTTTCACAATGAAGTTATGGCTGTGTCGGTCAAACCGTATAACCATATGGGTGTTGGCTTTGGCACTTTCTGCCTTAATGTACTTCATGCAGTTTTCACTCCATAGTTGTCCAGATTGCAACACCGCATTCCACATTTCACCTCTTTTGGAAAACAACGAAGCCATCCTAAAATACGTAGATTTTACCAAAGAAGTTACCGGGAGGTTTCGTATGCCTTTGAATACCCCATTCAACGATTCAATTAGATTTGTTGTCATGTGCCCCCATATTTATCCATTGTCGTATGACCTAGTCCATTTTTCTACCGGAATATTGTCGATCCACCTACCGACTTCCAGATTTGACAAACGGATCTCGTTGCGGTAATATTTGAATGTGGGTTGTGTCAATGCATATCCCGCATTCATAAACGCTTTCCTTAGTGTTTTGTCCTTGATCTCCCTCGTGAAATTTTGGACGATATGTCTAACGCAATAGACATGCGTAGAAGGAGGGTCATGCCAATAGTTTGCAGGATTATTGTATGCACTTTCAATGGATGCATGTCTAGCCGAGATCAAACAGAGATCTGGTTGAGGAGCCACGTGTGTTCGCAGGTTTTTCAGAAAAAAGCTCCAAGCACCACCGGTCTCCCCCTCAACTAGGGCAAAGGCAATTGGGAAAATGTTGTTGTTTCCATCTTGTGCAACTGCCATCAGTAGCGTGCCTTTGCATTTCCCATTTCCATTTAGTTGACTACTAACTTGGGCGTATGCTGGCACTGTTTCCAGAATGGTAATAGTACCCAAAGAATAAGTCTGAAGTGCATTCAGGTAGCGAGGAAGTTCTTGGTATGACTCCTCCCAGTTTCCGTACACCTTTTTAATCGCCTTGGTCTTTGCTAACCACGTCTTACGGTAAGACGGAGTATAGTTAAAAACCGTAGTGATGTGGGAGATGATATTTTTCACCTTCAAAGATGGATCGTTGCTGACGAGTTGTAGGATTTCTTGACAAATGAGATCGTAATTAAGTTTTCGATGGTCCTGTGATTGAGTAGAACTGACACAAGTGTGGGTAGACATGGAACCTATGATCCAGCAATCACCTCTTAATCTGTATGATGCAGTGAGCTTGAACATACAATCAGGGTGGACACACTTGATCTTGTACCTTTCTGGGTTTACACAGTCCACCTTAACATCGACCGAGTTGAGCATGTGGAGTTTTTTGATGGCTCTGATACATTCTTCTCTATTACGAAACTTGTCTTTCTCTTTTAAGTTTTCATCCGACTGCATATACAGATTAAAAAATAAATTAGAAGACGGTTCATCTCCGCCCATGTTGAAGTTTGTCATGTGCGGAGGTGGTGTGTAGATCTCGTTTGCAGGAATACCAGGTATCCCAACGTCTTCGGAATCATCATTGACCATTTCGTCAAACTATAACTCGTCATCTTCTTCTTCTTCATCAACTGCATCTACCTCTGCTTGTTCGGTCTCCAAAGGATCAACCACTTGTGTCACCTGAGGCTCTCGCAGCATAATGTACAACTCAATAGAGTCGTACCCGAAATACACATGACTGGAAAACATATTCTGAAGATCCTCTTCATCTTGAACCTCAACCTTATAAAATATTATTTGGTTGTTACAAAAAAAAACTGGATTCTGATAAAATATTTGTGTCACCGGGCCTCGTCCAAGTTTGGCCTCCAATCGTTTTTTGAAGTACAAGAAATTGGCTTTCCCGTTTAAATGAAATCGGATGTTGTCTGTGTCTCTAAACAAAAACCCAGAGGTGGGACAAATGTATGTCTCACCGTTGAAATGTGCACTGATGACATATTGGGGTGCAGAGGCCATTGCGTATGATTGTTTGAAGGTTTGAAGGTTTGAAGGTTGGAAGGTTTGAAGTTTATGAGTTATTCGAAGGTTTGAAGGTTTGAGTGTTTGAAGGTTTAATTGTTTGAAGGTTTGAAGATTGGAAGGTTTGAGAGATTAAGTGAATCAGTGTTTTGATAAATGTAAGACTAAATAGGTCATACTGAATTTGAATTAACTAAGGTTGTAACCTCTAAAGCTCCTCCTATCACGTCCAATAGTGTTACCAAGGCTGTCACCTAGCCTGCGCCTACTCTGCACCTACACTGTAAGTCTCCTCCCATCACCTCCAATAGTGTTACATGCATTCAGGCATGCCTTCTCCAAGGCTGTCACCTAGCCTGTGCCTACTCTGTAAACCATGCCACATCTTATTCGCCAATGGGGATGGCGACACCTTTCATTTTTGTACTCTTTCGCTAAGTCCAATGGCGCCTCCCTTCACGTTCAATAGTGTTACATGAATTCAGGGATGCCTTCTCCAAGGCTGCCACCTAGCATGCGCCTACTCTGCACCTACACTGTAACCTGTAAGTCTCCTCCCATCACCTCCAATAGTGTTACATGCATTCAGGCATGCCTTCTCCAAGGCTGTCACCTAGCCTGCGCCTACTCTACAAACCATGCCACCTCTTATTCGCCAATGGGGATGGCGACAACTTTAATTTTTGTACTCTTTCTCCAAGTCCAATGGAGCCTCCCTTCACATCCAATAGTGTTACATGCATTCAGGGATGCCTTCTCCAAGGCTGCCACCTAGCCTGCACCTACTCTGCACCTACACTGTAACCTGTAAGTCTCCTCCCATCACCTTCAATAGTGTTACATGCATTCAGACATGCCTTCTCCAAGGCTGTCACCTAGCCTGCGCCTACTCTGCAAACCATGCCACCTCTTATTCGCCAATGGGGATGGCGACACCTGTCATTTTTGTACTCTTTCTCCAAGTCCAATGGCGCCTCCCTTCATGTCCAATCGTGTTACATGCATGCAGAGATGCCTTCTCC